AAATATCATGACACAAAATCACCGAATCTTCCTACTTCTACAATTGAAATTCAAGCTTTTTTTCAAAAAACAATAATTTCATCATAAACCGAAGATTTTAATTAAAATGTTTATAATAATTACTTAAACAATGATAATATCTGTGAATGGGTTAAGTTAATATTAGTTTATTAACAATTATTCGCACGATAAAATAAATAAATATAAACAAACGTAAAGCAGACAATTCCATTAGATTTTTAAATCTTTGTGTGTATGTCAGGGGTGGCATACCCGAGGCCCGCCCTGAAGATTTTTCCGGTCCGAGAGATTCATCAAAGTTTTGCAAAATATATTTATTATTATTTTAATGGCCTAAATAGTAACAACCAATGTATTAGAAAGAATTCATTTATGTAGTCATAAATTAACCGTCTAAATTATGAGAAAAAGTTAACTTTGATTTTAATATAATATTCTCATGACAAATATTGACTGTTTTATTAAGTAATTCAAAAAAAATGTCTATAGTGAGTCTAAATCTAATACAGAGGTATGTAATTTTATATGCGTCCCGCGGTGTTTTGATTTGTTTTCAAAATAGCCTAGATAGATAATACGTTCACGTATTCTGCCTAAAAAGTACCTTTCCGTTTGTCCCACAAACTTTACATTTTAAATCTGAAGACAGAATAGCTTGGTAGTTTTGTCCTTAATTATCATTTTCATGAATGAAAATATAATAATTAAGAGCTGTTAATCGATTAAAAATGCATATAATATATATATACAATGTTGCTACAAAGTTTATATTTGTAGAACTTGAAATTCTTACTGTATTAATTCGAATTATTACGATTTTTCCAATTATTCGTTACAATATAACAATTCCAATGGTTTATTATGTTCATTCCGATTAGAAATTGTTATTATCGTTTGGTTTCGTGTTGTTTTTACTTACATTTTCTTATCATTTACTGCAGCAGTCAATTTTTGGTGGAAATTGTTTTTCACTTCTATAGGGAAAACGTTTTTTCCTTCGCACTTTACCGATCGCAGCAGCGGTGAGTTTGCGCGTTCTCGCGAAACAGCACTATCGATTTCTTGGGCGACACTGTAAAGTTTATATCAAAGATTCGCAGCGGACACGGAATGATAGTGAAATAAATAGGGGCATACGTGAGTGTAGGACGTGTATATATATATACATGTGTATAATGTGCGCTTCCCGCCGCTTTTCCTTTCGGTTAGAGCGGATGGTACCTGTGCTTAATACCGTCGTATGTTATGATTTTATTGGAAAAAAAAGGAAGCAGGAATCGAAAATCACGCACTGATTGGTCCTTGTTAGTCCCGTGTTGAATAAAATTACTTTAACCTTTCCGTTATTGATTTATTTCTATTGCAGTAGATAAATTATTTCATTGAAGGTTTCATTTTATGATGATATAATTCTGGAGGATGCCCAGGTTCAAGTTGTCTACTTAAGATCACATTTAATACGTTAAATTAATACTCCTAGAGAAGGCCGCTCACATTTGATTTTTCCACATTCTTTGTTTACAAAACTTACTACCTTCCCTACGTGAATAAGCCTACAAGGTCTTTTTGCCGACATGGTCGAAAAATAGAATGAAAAATAAAATTTAAAATACCATGTACCATCATACATCTCACACAAGTGCTTTGCACCATAAGTATCTGCCTATTTACTATTCAAAAGTAGAATTATGTATCATAAGCATATGTTACACATCAAAATTAAGTGCTATGCACTATAAACAGGTGCTATACATCTCAAACGAGTGCTTTGCATCATAAATATGTGCCTACTTACGATTCAAAAGTAGAATTATGTATCATAAGCAAGTGTTCACATTACAAACAAGTGCTATGCACTATAAACAGGTGCTATGCACTATAAACAGGTGCTATACATCTTAAACGAGTGCTTTGCATCATAAGTATGTGCCTGTTTACTATTCAAAAGTAGAATTATGTATCATAAGCAAGTGTTACACATCACAAACAAGTGCTATGCACTATAAACAGGTGCTATGCACTATAAACAGGTGCTATGCACTATAAACAAGTGATATGCACTATAAACAGGTGTTATACATCTAAGCGAGTGCTTTGCACCATAAGTATGTATCTACCTACTATTCAGAAGCAGAATTATGTATCATAAGCAAGTGTTACACATCTCAAACAAGTGCTATGCACTATAAACAAGTGCTGCATGTTTCAAAGAAGTGCTTTGCACTGTAATTATGCACTCTTGCATTACTTAATAATAGAATTATATACCATAGTAAGTGTTATACTTCCCAAACAGGTGCTTATCATCATAATTCAACCATAAATAAATTAGCATACAACTCGTAAAGAAAATTATACCATTAACAAGTGTCACATATCCTAAACAAGTGCTTTGCACCTAAGTTAATTACTGTACGTCTTAAAAAAGTACTATGCAGTGTCAGTACGTTGTTTGAACTGCAAGTAAAAGCTTTATGCCATTAGTATCAATTGCTACACAACTGAAACAAACGCGCCATAAAGGGATGCTATACAAGATACGTCCAACCAGTGCTATATATCAAAATAGTGTCCTATATATCAAAAACACGTGTGGCATTTATTGCAAATAAGTGATATGATTCTCTTTAGGATTAGATTACTGTTTGGGTAATTTCCCCCAGTAGCATTTGTTGTACACCAATGTTAGAAAAATACGTAATCCTAAAATGTAGCATTGTGCTACAGATGGCGTTCACTGTGCCGTTTGTGGTGTTTTCTGAAACGCCCTGTTAAGACAGCAGGTAAAAGTCGGTCTGTGTTCTGTCGGAGCTGCCTGCGACGCGCTGATGAGATCCAAAAAGATCGAAATCGCGATCCGCGTCTGGCAGTTTCGACAGAATACAGACCACTTCGAATTATTTTATTCGATTAAGCTAACGTGCCTATCACGTTGAGGTTGGCTACGCCAGGATTCGTTTTCAGCAAGTAGATATCCACACAAGTGGACCTTGTTGAAAAATACGTAATCCTAAAATGTAGCATCGTGCTACAGATGGCGTTCACTGTGCCGTTTGTAGTATTTTCTGAAACGCACTGTTAAGACAGCAGGTAAAAGTCGGTCTGTGTTCTGTCGGAGCTGCCTGCGACGCGCTGATGAGATCCAAAAAGATCGATATCGTGATCCGCGTCTGGCAGTTTCGACAGAATACAGACCACTTCGAATTATATTAATGTTAGAATTGTTGATTTTATTAAGAGGTGAGGAAAAATTGGAGCTAAATAGGGTTAATTATTATCAACAAAAATAATCGATTCGACCAAGTATTCATGTGGTAACTAACCCTTAGCCATATGGGTAAATTTGTGTACCATGTTTTCTACTTTTGCTAATTTTTCATAGAGTTTCTTTATTGTTTAGCAGTTTTTAGTCAGTTACTAAAAGCCAACAATAATTTTCGGGCTCAAATAATATGGTCTGCAATGGTACGTTAACATCAGGTAAATAAACAAGGTTGAAGCAAACAACGAATAGATTTTTATCGTCTAACTTGATTATACAATGTCATTATTCATTAATTAGGAAGTTGTGATATAATTGATGAAGTGTGAAATATTGCGATTGGTTTTTTTTTTACGAACTGGTCTTGGAAGTGAAATTATTGACAGATTTGATGTAAGAATTTTGCACCTTTATTTTTAAACTCAGACGGATTATAATGAGATGCATAGTAGCCAAAAGTGTCAGGTATATGGTCTACTGTACAATGCACTTGGGATAGATTTATAGCATGATTAGGCATTATTAACCACGGAGACTTTTGGAAAATGACTTGGCGAATTATCTATATATATATAAAAGAAAATCATTTTAGCTATACTATTTCTAACTCAAGAATGGCTGAACCGATTTGGCTGAAAATTGATGGGGAGGTAGCTTAGAACCAGGAGAAGGACACAGGATACTTTTTATCACGTTTCACTGGTTAAAAAATTCAATATCTCTGGGTGGGATGAATGGTGAAGAGGAGTTTCAATGTTTAAATGGAACATGTACTATTTGTGGTCAGATTTACTTGAAACTTGGTCTTAATGGTCTCTCATTTAATTTCTGAAAGACCTATCTCGACACTTTAGAAAATTCAACCTCCAAAGGGGAAAAGGGAAAAATGATGTTGCAATTTTTGTTTGGGACATACTTTATTTGTGGTTGAATTTACCTGAAACTTTGTACATATGCTATTTGATTATATTAATCAAATGAAAAGAGGTTGCAACGTTCCCATGGGGTGTATATTATTTGTACTCGGATTTACTCGAAGATTGCTCATTGTTGAAATTAAGCAAATATGTGTTTTGGCAATTTTTAAAAATCAACCCTTAAGGATGAAATGTTGTTGCTACGTTTGTATTTGAAAGATGGCGACATTACACAAAATTAAAACGTTGTAAGGGTGAATTGGGAGCTAAAAGGTTTTATGGAGAAAGAATATTAATTTCTGGGAGCGAAGCCGCGGGGAAAAGCTAGTT